GAAAAAATTTCTGAAAAAAAATTAAAAAATAAATTAATATTTTGAAAATAGTTTATTTTAGGATTTTATGCGTTACGAGAGATAATCTGATTGATGTACGTTTTGAAAGTGATTCGGATTGGTTATTGATCGAATTACGAACAAATCCATGGTCGGAACAATCATATCGTGGTCCACGAATCAAATATCGTCAAATTGATACACCTTATCAAAGATGTATGGATTTATTTACTTTTTCTTTCCCTCTTTCTTTCTCTCTTTTTCTCCATCAAATTTAAATATTTTCATTTTTTATTCACAAATTTACACGCTTATATTATAATGTATTATATGAAATGTTTTAAAAAGTATTAAATATTTTTAATTTTCTTTAAGTGTGTATCAATATTTAAATGAAGCGTTTAATTAAATAAAATGTAAATTATTGTCAATTTGAGAGTTTTAGAAATTGAAAATAATTTGAAGAATTTTTGATACCATAAAGATGACAGATATTTTTGGAATGTTAAATGCAGTTAAAGTTGTCAAAGTTTATCATCAAGTATGATTATCATATTTACGCGCTCTCTTTACGATGATATTTAACTAAAACGAATTTCATGCATGTTTTGAATTTTAACATGAAAGTTTAACGTGAAATATAAATTTAGCATTGTTTAAATTTCTTTTTCAAGATTAAAACAAATAAAATTTATGAAGTAGCAAAAAAAAAAAAATTTCAGCCTTACGAGCTTTCACAACGGACGTAATACCATCAAATGTTGCGAATAATATATCGATGTCAATTGTCCTCCTACTTTTGACGATGATCAGATGATATGATAAGATGATATGATTTATTGTCAGTTAATCACCATGCATAATGATTTTGCTTTTTATCAATTTGAATTACTATTATTTTTTTGTTTCATTATTAATGTTTCTTTTTTTAGTTTTTCATGTTTTAAGTGAAAGGATCATATTTTTGGATTACGTAATTTTCACGTATTTCCAACAGTCATCAAGTATAAGCCGAAAATAAAATACTAAGTGAGCCTGAATAATTAAAATAAGATAAGCACTAAAATATTTAGCATTTACAACGATATTTGTTATGGGCCAAGAAAGCAAAGATTATCATTGTTGGAAAAAAAAGCATTTTATTTTTTTTGAAACGTCAAATTGAAACGGTATAGGTACCAAAATGTTTGATATTAATAAGGAAATATAAATACTATGAA